GACGATGAGTGGACTTGAGGTGGACAGTGGGGGAGTGGGGGTGAAGGTCGGGAGGTGGGGGAGAGGAGTGAATTTGAGGGAAGGTAAGAGGGTTAATTGAAGAGGTGGGGGCGGGAGAGGGAGAGGGGTGGACAAGACTGAGGGTAAGAAAAGAGGGAGAAGAAAGTGAAGGGCAGAGGGCTGAAGTAAAGTTGAATCCTGAATAAAATTTGACAAGAATTTAAGACGGAATTCGTGAACTGCATTTAAGAGATAATTCATGACACGAATTCGACATACGACGTTCTATATTAAACCTAATATTCTGAATTCAAATTTATTTATTTATTCAAATTTATTTACTGAATTAATTTATTTATTCGTAATTTACTTCATCTGAATACATGGTTTCCGTCGATCCTTTTGTTTTAAAAAATATTGTATTTCATATTTTTTTAAACACAAGGAAATTTTTTCAATATTATTTAATAAAAAATATTAGAAAAACTGCATTTGGAAAGTTACTGAGATTGATAGAAAAACTGGGATATTTTCAAACGAAGGTATTGCTTTAACAACGCGTACGGTATACTTATCCGCTTGAAACTTGTATGCGCTAGGTTTTATGTATTTGGTCCAATTTTTTGGCTTTATTCTCTAAATATTTTATTCTTTAATTAAAAAGCGCGACAAACTGTAACTAGAAATGTTTTCCATGAAGATATATTGAATTTATTTGGTGTTTTCTTTCATTGCTACTTAACACCCATAGCACCCAGCCACCAACTGTCACCACCCACAGCACCCAGCCATCAACACTCACCACGTACCCATTACCTATAACACCTACACGCACCCATTGGGTGTATTGTTACCACATACACGCACCCATTGGGTGTATTGTTACCACATACACGCACCCATTGGGTGTATTGTTACCACCTACACGCACCCATTGATTACCACCAATACGCACCCATTGGGTGTATTGTTACCACCTACACGCACCCATTGGGTGTATTGTTACCACCTACACGCACCCATTGATTACCCCCAATACGCACCCATTGGGTGTATTATTACACCCATCACGAGCAACACTCCCAGATCCCCCAGAGCTGCTGAGCCCTTCGATCTAAGTAATCCCTGCCGATCAGGTGCCGGTTTTCCCTCAGACGCGATCGCTGCTAAATTTTCAAAAAAATTTCCTCGCAGGCATTAATGAAAAAAATTAATAAACGGCTTCGCTCGACTGGCCTTGAATACGACGCAGCGCATCGCGGTGTTGGTAATCTGGCGCGCGTCACAAACCGATTTGTGAAGAATGGACTGGCTGCTACGTCCCTTTAAAGTCCTCTTAAGAAGAGACTTACTAAGCCGATACACTTAGAAATTCAGGTATTTACTGGCCCGCCCCACTCGGCTGCTCTGCGACTTATTTTACCTTCGCAGTGCGGACTTTCTGAGCCGCTGCAAATGTAAACTTAAGGACTTGCTGGTCCACTACACTTGAATTAAGTTGAATATTTAAGGACTTTATGAGCAGCTGCAAATATAAACTTTGGGACTTGCTGGTCCACTAAACTTGATTATTTAAGGACTTTATGAACCGCTGTAAATGTAAACTTAAGGACTTGTTGGTCCACTACACTTGCCATTTAAGGACTAACTGAGCCGCTGCAACTGTAAACTTAAGGACTTGCTGGCCCATTACACTTGCCATTTAGCAATTTTCAATAATTACAGCCCAAAATTAACTGTGTTTCTCATTATATCATTTATATGTGAAGGAAATAGCAGAAATTATACAAAGGATGCGGAAATGGATAAAATTTGCATGATTTTTGTGATCATTTTAAAGTTTTCTATCCAGTGACTAACTGATCCGCTGCACCTAGAAGTCCAGGGATTTACTGGCCCCTATATAGGCTGAATTATTTAAGGACTTTCCAGAAATTTTAGGACTTGCTGGATCGCCATACATAGTAACTTTGTGACATAATATTCAACAGTGTTTTTTAATGATATCAAAGCTGGAACGCAGTCTGTAAATAAATCCTATTTAAAAGGCCTTTAATCCTCTGGACCGACGCCAAAAATGGAGGGAGAATTTGTTCACCTAACTTTTTGATAGCTGCGTGCATGGGCAGTTATGTGTACCATTTGCGTTCTATTCTATTCTATTATAATATATATTATATTATATTATTTTTTTATTTTATATTATATTATATTATATTATATTATATTATATTATATTATATTATATTATATTATATTATATTATATTATATTAAATTATATTATATTGTATTTTGAAGCAGTAATTTGCGATTGGATCCGTTGCCATGCATAGCCCAAAAATAATTTAATTGATTTGTAGAAGTTTACGTTATTATTATTTAGATATTAAACAAATAATACATAATTTTACTCGAAAAATCATTGAAGACCCCGAAAACTAAATTCAAACTACATGTTTGTGAGTGAAACTAAGGTTGTTCACGTACCTCATGCATGCTAGTAGAATTCACTTCAAGAACTTGTCATACACTCTACCTCGAAAGCGTTCATTTGTTTGTGCTACGTCGCCCTGAAAGTTTCCTTTGAAGGCTCTCCTTCATCTAAGCTTGACCCTCCCTTATCAGTTCTTTGCACTTCCTTATCAATGCCTAGCTTGAGGCGTGCTCCTAGCTGCTTTCTTGGCAGCACAGTCCGACATGTGACCTTGTTATTCAACTTTGATTCGACGTGTGATTGATCTATGTGTTGAAAGTTTCAAATTAACGTACAGTAATTAAATAGTCCCCGATCCAGTTCATATTCAGCATGAACCATACATTTATGCGATGTCCTTTGAATTTACAGGAGCCGTGAATTTTTTATTTTGAAGTTACTAATATAAAACTTGCATTTCAGTTTTCAAATCCTTCCTTCTCTCTATTTTCAATGGCTTATGATTTCATAAGAAATATGAAAATAAATAAAGTCAGAAATAAATATTTCCGACACAATAGTTATCCGACACAATAGTCATCGCAGATTTATAACAACAGTCAATAGTTATCCTGGATTTACTTATATTTGTTTATATGAACATTCTCGGATATATATATGAACATTGGGAGAGAAGCCTTGTCTCGTGACTGCCGTTGCATATCGTTTAATCCACTGGCTCAATGAACATCTTATTAAACTATGATTCTGCTTCAGCTGTCGTACAAGTTTTTGGCATTAGCCATACCAACAGTCACTTTCATATGAAGATGAAGTAGAGTGACAACTGTTAATAGGTTTCGAGAGGTAGTAAATTGTAGTTCTATTACTCATAATATATATAAACTTATTGATGGACTACATGGAGGACCATTGATTATACTGCTCGGATATATCCATTTTTCATGCCAATTTGCATAAAAAACTACATTTTTATAATGTTTTTATATTAGCAGCAAAATGATTACCTGAGAATTATAATTTGCTTAGACGTTCATTGAGCCGTGTGCTGATATACCATACATCTGTAAAGATGGGAGCGCAGCCGTGCACCACCATTTCTGTGCACCAATAAGCCCCGAATCGAACGCCTTGGATCTCACCGGGCATCCACCAATCAGCCGTGAACCACTCGGCTTTGTCCTCCTCCGGCCTTGCATAGAACCTGCCGTGCACCACCAGGCCGTGGATCGAATCTGACTTCCGGGCATCGTTAAATTACGTAATTTTACGTTCACCGCATCTGATGTTAGATTTCAGATAGCATAGTTCTGTTCCAAAATTTATCGTCCTTCGACAAGTGGCCGTTCGACCGAGGGCTGGTTCGACTCACGGCCTAGATACAGACGGCCTGAAGTGTTGCAGGCTACGTTCCGGAAGGCAGGAATCATGATGGCCCATTACATCCAGGGCAGTGGTGGTCTTCGGCAGGCGACCCGTAAAGATCGAGTTGCTAATGCTGAAATAAAAGTTTTCAAGACATTCAGAGGCTAGGGAGAGGCTGGAGTACGGCGTGAAGCTAGTTCATTGTTTACAGATACAGAGCAATGATGAACTCAACAAGAATTAAATGTATCTAACCAAGTTGACCAAAAATGAGCCAATTTATTTGGTTGACTAAATCAAGAAGATAGGGTGGTTGCTACACATCAGCGAGTCCCTCTCTTCTATCATTATTGGTTCTAAATCTCTTCAGTGAATATTTCACGCATTCATGAAGATGAAGTGCACTTACATTAAACGGGCCAAAGAAGCTTAGTTGAATCATCATAACCAAACTTTGTTAAGCCAAAAACTCTACAGCTTTGTTAAGCCAAAAATCCTTGAAATTGCCAAAAAGCGGTCCCCTTTTCCATTATAAGCAAGCTCGTCAACTTATCCTTGCTTATTGAGCCCATATCCGAAAATATACGCAAATCTAATTAAAAACTTCGATTACAAGTACATACGCTCATTTAATATAGGAATTATATCTGATTTGAATAGCCACAATATCTTAAATAAACATCGAACTCTGTGTTTGACACTGCTTTAAAAGTAAATGCATAGCTCGCATCGACTGTACAAGCTGGCATATAAAATGTGGTGCTACAACGCCTAAAGTCCATCTCGTACAACCCAGTCACGGGGGATATATAATAATAATAGCGGTTTCAGCGTTTATTAGGCCGTAGGCCTGTCGCTGATTCTAAGAACATTCACAGCATTCTGCGGCCTCGAACTCACAACTCGCTGCTTCAATTCTGCCTCCTTGCCGATTCTGACCAGAAACTGTCGCACAGAACAGGGATCGAACACGCGCCTCTCTGCGTCAATCTCGGTCTCTGAACTGTCACCACTGGGCCACCCTGCCCACAAAATTCATGTGTGACGAATTTGAAGTTAAATATCCCCTGCGCAATATAGACTTATTTTAAATTTAATTAATGATTAATCAAATCAAAATTGGATTTTACAATCCTTTTGAAAAAGGTGACTCTATGCATATAAGCAATCTAACTCTACGTGTACGATTGCTTTCAGGGACGAAAGTTTAATTCTCTATTGTGATTGTTGCAACAGTTTCGTGATTCAAGATACGGTTGAATGGCTGGGAGATTAAAATGGCACTCTGACAATCATTCTTAGTTGTATAGTGGAACCGCTGAGATGAAAAATGTTGTAGATGTATCTCTAGTTTTGGTGTAAGTAAAATTGGAATTGTTACGCGTTTGGCGTCCAAGAATTCGCCTTCTGTGTCCCAGTGTTTACATTTCTGTTAGTTCTTTAGAATAGCTACGGAATTCCTATTAGGCTATTTTATATTTATATATACTGAATATACATACAGGCGACAGCTACTGACTTCATAACAACAATTATAACATCACAAAAACAATGCTATGACTGCCTTCATCGACATTAGTTCCATTTCTGCAACAAAATCCTTGTATAAACGTTAGTTTGTAATAATAGGTAGTAGGTATGATCATAGTGACAAACCTGAGATTTTCTAGAATCAGTTCATTTTTAATTTTCTCATTTACCCAAGATTGAAACCAATTTCTTATGTATGATGATGCTGGTATCCAGGATACTTTAATGGTCAACTTCTAGCCTCTAGGACTCAAAAATGAACTTGAGGGAGAGTCTAAAAAATTCTCTGCTTTGCCACCATGGTCACTCACCGTATGATAAGGTATTGACTATTGATCAAACTGAGTGAAACTCCAGTCTCCAGACTAGAGCGTTACTGCATTAGAGAATGGAGATAATTAATATTTTCCACTTAGATTATAGCTATACTAATTCATGCTAACTATTTTTTGCTAAAAAACATTCAACAGTTGGTTAACTTGGTTTGAAATTTGAAACCTTCAAGGCCTCAAGGCTAGTCTGGAAAAGTCCTATTTTTGTCTGAAATATTGCGGCTCTAATATCATATAATTTCAGTAGGTATGAAATCTCGCGGCTCGAATGTCATAAATTTTTGTTTGATTAAAAAATCGCGGTTTGCACTTCGCAAACATGTCATTTCATATGTCAGACTGTATATTAACACGTGCTGAACTTACAGTAGAGACAAATTTTATTGTTGCCGTTTGACTGTTTAAGGGTAAAATTAGAGATTTGGGGTAACACGTGCATAAACTTGGTAAATAAATTCGCATTCGCACCTCGTAAATGGCTTTTCATGGCCCGAGATATGGAATTCACGGCTCGGTGAAATAGAATCACGGCTCGTAGAAATGGAATCACGGCTGGCAAATCCATAAAACCACGGCTCGAAAAATTCAGTCGCGGCTCGCCAAGTAGATATATTCCATACTAGCCTCAAGGGAAAATATGCCACTTAACTTATTTGTCACTATATGTTTGTTCCTATATAAGATCGCCTCTTTAGTAAGAATAAAAGAAATGTTGTCCGTCTAGGAGTAAACGAGTTCATATGAAGTAGATGGTCTTAACCTGAAAAGTTGACTAATGACAAACTAGGTTTTGAATATTATGCAAAATTTATTTTATGGTGGAATTCCAGGATGTGGTCATGTGGACTGTTACCTAATTCCACGGTTCCACCACAAGTCCACAAGCACCAGAGCCCTCCATCATCCATGCTTTAGGACTAGGCATAGTGACAAACCAGAGATTTTTTAGAATCAGTTCATTTTTAATTTCCTTATGTACCCAAGATTTAAACCAATTTCTTATGTATGATGATGCTGGTATGATGGTATCCAGGATACTTTACTGGTCTACTTATAGGACTCAAAAATGAACTTGAGAGTCTAAAAAACTCTGCTTTGCCACGCAGCCACTATGGGACTAGGGCCTAAGTCTGTGTCTGGGTGGTGGGTCAGGGTGGTGCAATTCAAAGCCAGTAAAAAACTGAAAAATGTAGAGAAATTTTCAGTGATTTTAGTAATGAAGCCTTGAAGCCGGAAGCGCTGTACTGCAATTGTCCAGGGCTGCTATTTTTCCCACACTCAGGAATCAGGATGATGTATGTTTTCGGTGAATTTTCCCGCGCATTATCACTTTTTTTAAGCTATTGCTGTGCACAGTTGGCGCAATGTAATGAAAATTGATTATCTTCACGCACGTGTTTGCGCAATCCTGGCCATCTTTATTTTAGAAGAAATTTTCTCCAAAGTCATATGGCAACACTGAACACCGTCTGTTTACATTTCGTATATATAACAGCCGCAGTTTACAATTACCGTACGTTCCGTATCCGACAAGGCGGACAACTGGAAGAGTCAGAAGTAACCCGGACATGTCTTACATTTTATTATTGTCAGTTCAACTTGTGTAGTCAATATACTTGCGTATATTGTCGACTAAAATAGTAGAACTATTTTAGCTTTCTAAAGTACGGCGCACGGCGCATTTTTTTACCAACGTAGTACGGCGCACCGCGCAGGTCGTTAAAATGACAGAATAAATTCCCGCGCACCTGGCACATCTTCCTGACCATGGTATTTTTCCAACTTCCAAGGCATGCGCTTCAATTTTGGCTGACAGACTGCTAAATTTCATAGGTAGGGTAAAGTAAATGCACCATATTCCAACATTGTGGGTAATTCTTACACTTCTCAACTTTTTCCTTTATATCAAGCTTTGTCTTTTTTTTTTTTTTAATAAGGCCTCCCACACTCACCATTCCAACAAAAAGGAATTAATTTTATTAATTAAAAACAGGGAATGGTTTCATGTCAATGATCAGGGCCCCGACCTTAAGGCCCTGGTTGAAGGTCGCAAGGCTTCTAACAGGCTTGGCTCTTCCCTATGCGTTTCTTCACTAATTAGGATAGACTTTACTCCACTCGCAAATGAGATGGCGATATGGATTTTTCCATGCTTACCCATCTATTTATTTAGAAACGGTGATCAGTAACAAAAAATATGTAAACTTTGTATTAAAACAGTTTTAATGAGAGGAAATTTCAAGAAACTTTGAATATTATTGTTCATCAAGTCTGCGACTTTTTTACTTTTTTCGAGATATAAAAGGGTTGTAATTTTTATTCTCCATTGAATGGTATACTCGGCATTCCTTGATCAGCCTCTTTGTTGTAGATATTTTCGACCGAAAAATAGTTATGATCGAGCCTNCACAGCTTGTTCAAGTGATTCGCGCTCGAAGCTGACATTGGTGATGGTCGAGAGGGCAGAAACCAACACCTCATCGAACCGCTCCAAATCACCTACCCGCGTATATGCAGGAGATGCAAGGAGGACGTATTGGAGTTTAGGTAGAGCAAAACAATTATTTAAAAGCGCAAATGCTTGATGATTATCAATTAATTTAAGCTTTGTCTTAGTTCCACGCATGAGTAGACGGTTGAAATAGTGATGTCATACTATTGCGCCTAATATTTCCGCAAAACACTAGGTCTGACGGGAAAATGTTAAGATCCGCAGAGCAAAAGTCAACGACCCACATCACCCAGTGAGAAAAACTGAGAACATTGAAAAACGTGTCTGAGTTGATAGTTGACCTTGCTTTACCAAATAGTGATGAGTTGATAGTTGACCTTGCTTTACCAAATAGTGATAAACTGTTTGTGTAGAAAGAATATTATGGTTTGAGACTTTTAAATAAGTCTGTGAATCATAGTGACAAACCAGTGATTTTTTAGAATCAGTAATCAGCAGTTTTTTTTTCTCGTTTACTCAAGATTTAAACTAATATCTTATGGATGATGATGCTGGTATCCATAATACTTTGCTGGTCTACTTAAAGCAGTTAAAATTGAACTTGAAGGAGAGCCTAAAAACTCTCTGCTTTGCCACTATGCTGTGAATATATTAGGAATCCTTTAAGTATATAACACTCACCCTGAGCTCCATGGTACACCCTCACCCTGAGCTCCATGGTACACCCCTCACCCTGAGCTCCATGGTACACTCCTCACCCTGAGCTCCATGGTACACTCACCCTGAGTCAGATGGGGTAAGACAGGACCGAAATCACTAACAAGCCTGTAGCATCTATACCAAGAATAACTATAAACCCTAAACCTAGCACAAGGTGTATATATGCAATGGGCTTCTAAGCTACAACTCAGACGTTTTGCATCTAACATAGTTTTCTGTACAGATAAAAAAAAGTGAGCTGGTCCCATCTTACCCCATTGGGGTAAGATGGGACCAGGCATGGGGTAAGACAGGACCGACTGGCAATTCTTATGTTACAAGGTTTTTAATAAAAGTACAAATCTGATATTTAATATTATCAATCTAGAAACACATTATTTGATTAAACAACCACTTGTTACTGTTTTGTGTTGCAGGAAGTCAACTCTAACATTAGTCTCATTGAAGTTTTTGTCATGAGAAAACTTTGTTAAGCATAGTAATAGTGGGTTGGCTTTGGTTCATTGTGGAGCACTGCCAAATGCTACATGTATATTCCATTAGTGTCCTTGTCTGAAAATTTATCAAATTTGTAATAAAACTAATAGATAATAAGTTAAGAGTTGGACGTCATGCGTTTTCTTGCTAACTGCATTTGTGGTGCACTTCTTCAAACATAGCCCATGCCCTCTCACAAAATTGTGATAATTATTTTTTATGTTTCACACAATGATTTTTCCCCCAATCACTCTTGCACATAGTTCTGCAGCTCACTAATGGGAAGAGACATCCCTATTTTCTCCATTCCCATGATACAATTTTCAATAGTAAGCTAAATTTCTCTAATTAAAAAAGCTAACGAGTTAGAATGGTTATTTTGAGCAAAAGATAAAAATGTTGACCAAAATACTTATGCACAATAATATATTCATTTAAAAGCTATTTTTGATAAACTATGGGGTAAAAGAGGACTGTTTGTGGCAATTGTGGGGTATGACAGAACCATTTGTGGGGTAAGATAGGACCACTTGTGGAGTAAAACAGGATCATTTAGTGGTCCTGTCTTACCCCATGTCCTGTCCTTTTTTCCCCATTTTAGAATACCAGTAGTTGTCAGGAAGTGATGATAGCAAGTAGGACTGCCTAGTATGTCTCAAAAGTTACTTATTACTTGAGGTTACTTGCCTACATCCACAAACCTGGCCAAAAATTTTTTTGTAATCAGACCCAGCTTATTTCCCAAACAGGGTTAACTATTTTGTGACCCTTCTTTACATAGGTTTTCTTTGAAAATTAACCAAAAATTAATTATTTGCAGAAGAGGGTTGAAACAAACACTGAAATGACAGGCAATGATTGCTCTAACATATTCTTTTTGTCAAATTAAATTCAGTACAATTAGAATGCATGCAATGGGCCGGTCCTTTCTTACTCCATGAAGGCTGCAATCCTGTCTTACCCCATTTGACTATACTTGTATTTGCCGATTTTAAGTGGTAAATAAATTGATAGATGATTGATTTAAGAGATGGTTTTAGACACATAAAAACTAATTCTGACATGGTGTCGGAATTTTAACACACAGCTGTGACAACCGTGTGTCGTATTCCGACACAGTTCACACAGGGTGTCGGAATTACGAATTACGATTTGAAGTGCTGTTGGAATTGGTCTCATAATATGCCGCATTTAGTCACACGTGTCAGAATTCAGCAATTTTGTAGATTTGAATTCTAAAGGCTTTTGAATAAATATGGCAACAGTTTGTGACGTTTCATCATTGCTGGCACATTGTGATTGTAGTGCTTTGAGTGACATAAACCAATCAGAACTCAAGTTGCGCACATGGTGATCTATTTATATCCATTTATTTCTTGCTAGGTCTTTAAGGTGTTGGAATATGGTGTGTTTACCTTACCCTACATGCTAGTTGAGAAAAGTTCTAATTTTTTCTAAAAATATTGCACTTCTAATATCATTTTATTTTAGTAGGTATGAAATCTTGTGGCTCTAGTCTCATGTATTTTTGTTTGATTGAAAAAAATTTTGTTTGATTGAAAAGATTTGGAATTCATGGCTCAAAGAAATGGAATTACGCTTGCAAATCCATAAAAAGACGGCATTTGTGGCTTGGAGATGGCTCTTCATGGCCCAGATATGGAATTCATGGCTCCAAGAAATGGAATTATGCTTGCAAATCCATAAAAATATAACTCAGTACTCACTGCAGTGAGTGACGGAGAGCGCATTTTCTTGTCGACAAAAACTTGAGGTCACGGACAGACGGACGGACAGATGGACGGACGGATGGACATGGCAAGCACAATAGTGCATTTTTTCCATAAATGAGAAAATGCGCTAAAAAGACGGCTTGAAAAATCCAGTCGTGGTTCAGTGAGTAGATATTATCCTCATTAAGTACATGGTCATTAAGAAGGCAGTTTGAATGCCACCCTTAGTTAAGCAAGATTTTTCCATTCAAGTGGCTCATTGTTGTTCACTGAATTTAGGATTGAAATAATCTCAATTTTTTCTAGAAACTCACAGGCATCTCAAAAAACCCTTTTTACAAAAAAAAAAAAAAAAAATTTTTCTTCTTTGAAATCATCTTAAAAATCTTGTATTTTAGTTTGATAGAAAATTGCATGGCTTGTGAAAATTTTATTCCTACAAAATTCCATAGACTGAAGTTTATCTGCACTCATGCAGGCATGGAATACATCTTCTTTTTGAGCTACAACTAGGTTTTTCCACCAAATTTGGAGCCAAAAGATTTCCCCTAGATGAATTATAGGTACATATACTGATAACTCCTATCCAATTGTTGACAAAATTGAACAACTGAGACACCGGGTTCCTAAATGATAAAAATATTTGACATTTTGTAGCTGATGAATTTCTTTAGTAAGGAGGAAAATTCTGATTGTGCAGTCACCTGCCAAAATTTCTGCACACTGCATATGAAATGTTTTATTTTAAAGGTCTCATAGTTGCATTCATGTTATCAGATTCTCTCCCAATTTTTTCTTTGGTGAAAAACATTTTTGTAATGGTTCCCTAGTTGTGGTGATGTCAGACAGCTTGCTTACAGCACTGAAACTTATGATGCATCTACCTATGACATGACAAAAATTGCATTATAAAAGGCTAAATTACCTCTGACATGAAGCAAAATATTTTTCTTGACATTTTTAGGGTACAAATAGAGGTACAATGGTAAAGTTGTTAGGGTTTAAATAGTATTAATTATTCTGAGATATTACGTAGGTACTTCTCAAATATTCCACATTTTTTTCTAATTGGAACTATAGTAGCTAAATTAATTTATATTATTCTCTGAATGATATTTAATTAGCATAGTGCAAATTTTATTTTTCCAGAAATGGCAAGAAAGCTCCAGTTGTAGCTAAAAATATGATATTTTCAAGTAAAGACGGGGTGATGATATGTATGGTGTGATCAGCAGTTTATCAGTTTATGTATATATATAGGTAGGTAATAAATGTATGGTTTCTTAACTTGCTTTATGCTACATAGATACGTAGTAAAAATGTTAAACTTTATGCCACTATTTTTAGTTTTGCAAAATTTTCAATAGTTTAGCTGCTACAAATGTGGGACGACTGTCCTGATTTACCTGAAACATTTACATGGTTTATGTAATAAATAAATGTTTTTGGAGTATAAAAGTTTACCAGAATATTTTACTGTTTGAGTTGTTGCATTTGTTTCTAACTATGAACAATTACTTTATCTCTGTATTGGTAATGGTTTATAAATATACATTGTTGCAGGTGTGACTGAGACACAATAATGGCAGACGCAGCCATGGCTGCTGGTGGCAGCAGGAGTGGCCCTAGGTATCAGTTCAGCATTAAAGGTTAGTCTTGTTAATAATACTTAAATACCTAATTATTGTTAGCATTAAAGGTTAGTTGTTCAGCATTAAAGGTTAGTATTGTAAATAATACTTAAATACTTGATTATTGTTAGCATTAAAGGTTTGTTGTTCAGCATTGAAGGTTAGTATTGTAAATAATACTTAAATACTTGATTATTGTTAGCATTAAAGGTTTGTTGTTCTGCATTAAAGGCTAGTATTGTAAATAATGCTTTATTACTTGATTATTGTTAGCATTAAAGGTTTGTTGTTCAGCATTGAAGGTTAGCATTGTAAATAATACTTGAATACTTGACTATTGTTACATTAAATGTTTGTTGTTCTGCATTAAAGGTTAGTATTGTAAATAATACCTACTTAAATAGGTACTTAATTATTGTTCGTATTAAAGGTTTGTTGTTCAGCATTGAAGTTTTTTGTTGTTTATTGTTGTTCAGCATTAAAGGTTGGTATTGTAAATAATACTTAAATACTTGATGATTGTTGGCCAATTGATAGAATAATTTATGTATTGGATGGTTCAATACATTCAATACAGACTTTATATCTCCCAATGATGAAAAATTTGGCATGAAGAATTTTAAATGAATTTTCTCTGATAGTATACTGGTCACAGTTCCCAAAGAACATTGTACAAATATAGATATTGCATTAGCAATTTTTCAATAAAATTAAATTTGTGTATCGAGATTGAGCTTAAATTTTGCTATAGGTAAGTCTAGTTCACTATAAATTTACTATGTTTCTGCCTTGGACTGATTTTAAGTTTTGATTTTGAACCTTGTCTATGATACCCATTAAACGTATGCACTTTAGTCATAAGCAAATTTTGCAGTGTGCAGTGCAGTGATGACCCCTACATTGCAGTGTGCAGTGCAGTGATGACCCCTACATTGCAGTGTGCAGTGTAGTGATGACCCCTACATTGCAGTGTGCAGTGTAGTGATGACCCCTACATTGCAGTGTGCAGTGCAGTGATGACCCCTATATTGCAGTGTGCAGTGCAGACCTGAGCAGTGCTAGTGGACTGCTGACGAAGCCCTCAGCGTACGTGGAGGTGCTCGTGGACGGCGTCCTGCAGAAGCGCTCACAGTGCATCAAGAACTCAGCGCGCCCCAAGTGGGGGGAGACCTTCACCCTGTGAGTGCTGGGGGATACTGGAGGAGTGGGAGGGGAGACCTTCACCCTGTGAGTGCTGGGGGATACTGGAGGAGTGGGGGGGGAGACCTTCACCCTGTGAGTGCTGGGGGATACTGGAGGAGTGGGAGGGGAGACCTTCACCCTGTGAGTGCTGGGGGATACTGGAGGAGTGGGAGGGGAGACCTTCACCCTGTGAGTGCTGGGGGATACTGGAGGAGTGGGAGGGTAGATAACACATAACAGATGCTGGTCCGTTGAAGACTTAACATATAAGATTCATCAGAAATTATTGATAATTTATCATTATTTATTATATTTATTATTATATTTATCATTATTTTTATTATTTATCATTATATTTTTTATTATTATTGATGATGTACCCCGTGTTTTAGGCTGGCGACGCGTGAGTCCTCAGTGCTGCTGCGCGTGTGCGACCACCACACCATCGTGCGCGACTCTGTGCTGGGGGAGGTGCTCGTGGCCCTCGCCCCTCTCCTCAGGTCCAATGGGGGGCAGCTTAAGGCCGTGCCCCTCACCCTGCCCCTCACACTCGCCCCTCACAACAAGCCTGCTCCGTCTTCAGGTCAGTGCCACTCTCAGGGCCCTCTCTCCCTTGCCCCTCTTCCCACCCCANCCACCACCCCACCACCCGTCACCCCACAGAGGCCGCCGTGCCGTCCATCAGCATAAAGCTGGACGGGTTCCTGAAGACGTCGCCCGTCGCGGCCGCCGAGACGTCGCCTCGCCCGTCCCCCAGCACCGCCCCCCCGCCGCCCGCCGCCACAAGTAACGGCCCCAAGCACAACAACAACAACAACAACGTCCCCGCCACTGCTACAGGTCAGTTACTGTGTCACTTACCGCTACTGTACAGCCCGACGCAAAAGGTTAGCCCCACCCCTTTAAAACATCATAACATATCGAGTTTTGCCAGTTTTAACGTGTAAATGGTGGCAAACGATTTGTCTTGCGTTCTGCAATCTATAGCAGGTGAAATTTGGTGGAAAAGTTAATTACCGGCGGAAAAATCAAGCGGTCCGTGTTTTTACCCAAACGCAAAAGGTTAGCCCCACTTTGCAAGTTTGAACAGGACGCAGCGTAGACAGGACGCAGTGTAGACTCGCTGCGAAGGTTGCGTTCATAGCGTAGTAGTTGTGCACGGATCTTATGCTCACCTAGGCAAGAAATGGGCGCGGGAAAGCCTGTAACTAAGTTTCAGAAAGGTGCCATTCAAGCCCTGATGGCGCTGCCTGAGGACGAGCGTCCTAGCCTGCGAGGCACAAGTGGGGGTGTAGCCGCAAAGCCATCTCCAACTATCTCAAGGACCCCGTGAAGTACGGAAAGCGGCACACCAAAGGCCGCCCCAAGAAGATGTCGGCCCGTGACACGCGTCGCCTCTTCCGAGTTGCGGCGTCCGGCGACTTGAGCGCGCCCAAACTAGTCCAAAAGTTGGAGCTCAATGTCTCCAAGTCCACCGTCTCTCGCACCCTCGCGTCCTCCGGCATCTTCCAATACGTGAAGATGAACAAGGTCTCCCAATTGACCGAGGCTCAAGCACGCCAGTGTCGCCTGGGGCACAAAGTATGCAGGTACCGTACTAGTGATGATACCTGGGCAAAAACCATCTTCTCTGATGAGAATAAATGGAATTTGGATGGCCCAGATGGTCTGAAGTACTACTGGCATTGCCGCAGGAATGATCCAAAGGCAGCTTTTAGCTGCCAAAATGGCGGCGGCAGTGTAATGGTGTGGAGGGCCTTTCATGCAAACGGGACGAGCGAGCTCGTCTTCCTCGAAGGCAACCAGTGCGCGGACGACTATGTCCAAACGCTCGAGGACCATCTACTTCCCGTCATCCGCCACCAAATTCGCCGCGGTGCCATCTTCCAACAAGACAATGCCTCAATCTATACGGCGCGCACGACCAAGGCTTTCTTCAAGCGTGCCAAAATCCGGGTTATGGACTGGCCAGCCAAGTCCCCCGATCTGAATCCCATTGAGAACGTCTGGGGGTACGTGGCTGGAAGCGTCTACGCCTGCGGGAAGCTGTATGACACGAAGGAAGAACTCGAGTTGGCCATTCAAGCCGCCTGGTCCAATCTGGACCCCAACTACCTCCGTAGGCATGAAACTACCGTTTCTCAGGGCATGAAAAAGCGGTGCTTGGATGTCTACAAAGCCAACGGGGAGCATATCGGTAAATAGCCTTTAGTTTTGCAGCTGACGTTTGTTTTGTTTAGCCTAAAATGTCAAAGTGTACAAAGTGGGGCTAACCTTTTGCATCGGTGCAAAAACATGCGTCTTTCATTTTCTCTGTTACTAATTACATTTTCACTACAGTTTATTGTATTTTTATTACTGAGACCAAGACGATTCGTTTGCCACCATTTGCACGCTAAAACTGGCAAAACTCGATGTGTTTTGATGTTTTAAAGGGGTGCGGCTAACCTTTTGCGTCGGGCTGTAACTGCAGTGAGCCTTTACTTATCATCATCGTATCTTCTGATCAACTTCGTATAATTATTTCTTACGTATCAATTAATTCCTTCTAATTATCTCTTATATCTTGATTAACTTCATATAATCATTACTTGCTTCTTAATTGATTCATATTCATGATATGTAGCTTCTTGATTATATTCTTTATCTAACATTTTTCTCGTTTCTTCATCTCTGTTTATTTCTTGCTATGGATGTTAATTTGTTGTTCTTACCATCAGTAATGGCTCCAAATATTTGCGTATTTTGTCTTGCAATGAAAATAGACTAAATATATATACAATACTCGCATATTAGGTCTAGCAGTATATGCACTAAATTTGCAATAATTCTTTATTCACTGACTATTTGTTACCTCCAAATTGAACTTGCAATCACAAATGCTTCTGCTAGTGTAATGATAGTGAAATGGGTAGATGCTGCTAGTGTAAAGATAATGCTATTGAATGATGCTAGTGTAGTGATAATGTTTGGTGTTGATGCTGATAATGATATGATAACCATTGGCAAGATATTGATGATATCGTCCTTATACGAGCTATTGATGATATCGTCCTTATACGAGCTATTGATGATATCGCCCTTATACAAGCTATTGATGATATCGCCCTTATACAAGCTATTGATGATATCGCCCTTATACGAGCTATTGATGATATCGTCCTTATACGAGCTATTGATGATATCAACTTTGTAAGATCAAGTTTGCCAAACTGATGATCTAATCTTGATGGAATGCCAAGTCTTAGGTCAAGTTTTGGAGTTCAGAACATTATTATTTGCCATCGTTATCTCTGAGTGTATATTTCGCAACATTCTCCGCAACAAGTAATCAATACAAGAAAAATGTGCTGTTAACAGAAAAGTTCCAGCCTGTTTTCTGTTTGTCATCATTATTATGTTAATTACACGTCGTCTTACAGCTGTGGTGTTTACTGACATGGACCATGTCAGTCTGATGACAAGTGGAAACAGGCTGGAACTTTACAGACGAAAATGAAATAGTTCATATTGTTCAAAACTTGACACACTTGATACATTTTCTTACCCATGCCATAAAGGGGGAGCAGAGTAGCATCGATACACAATTTTGTTGGGCCAAACTAGGTCAGGATTACCCACTTACGTGCAAAAAGTGCTTCATTTTTTTGCAGTCTCGTCAATATCTGAGTGAAGGTGATGTTGCCAACTGTTTCGCGTATAAATGTTGAATTTGCAAAATTATCAAACCCTAAATTGATATAAATTAAATAGAATGGACAGAAAAAGATTCTTTTTTGAAAAATTAGGTGGTGATGGATTGAAATTTGTATTGTGAATTTAAAATTTATTGTTTTAAAGCTGCAGAATTAAGCCATTTGGACATTCCCATGCAGGTCAATGACATAAGGCCTTAAAATCAAGACCCGACATTGTACTTGGATATTTCTTCATTAAAAATAATACATGAACAGTGCACACAAATAAATCTTGATAAACTTGGAGCATAAACAGCGCACTCTTAAACCTTACCTTATGATCTTATGATGAGTTTAGGACGTCGCAGTCCACGGTCACGCTGATGCGCCGCTAAACTCAGCACTAATATTTCTTCATCAACATCAAACGTCAAGAATGCATTTAAATGTTTCTTCAGCAATATAACCCATAAACATTGCACAATATACTTGTTCATTATCAATGTAAATGTTCAACTTTTGTCCCAAATATTTGTTCATGAACAAGAAGCTTGAACATTTGTCCCTGAAATTCTAAAGGAGAATGTTTGCCAAGTGAGCTTCAACTTATGTTCAGTTGAAACTGTGAAATACTGCAGTATGTTACAATGTTGCCCCAACATGTAACTGGTGTACGTATTATGTAATTGGCATGAAATAATCGCTTGTTGGACCATCTTCCTTGATTGTTGCAACAATAAACAATCATGAGCACTGACTGCCAGGACCAAATGATTGTTATGCTGTTTATTAACCAAGAATACTAAAGATAAATAAATTCTGATGAAATTATGCATATTCCAGTGAATAGTAAGCTAAGTTTAGCTCGATCGCCAGTTAAAAAGATATATTCTAACCGTGTTTTTAATTTTCAAAACCAAGTGAGCCAAGTGATTGAAAGTTAACTTTATTTTCTCGAAGATTTATCCGTTTTAATTTAGTAGTTGATTTGAAAGTGAGCAATCAACTCGTTTAATTCTTATTGTATCATTCCATATTCAAATTGATGTTTTATGCAGACTCGTGAGCTGGTAACTTTTCCCTCTGAAGTACTTGCTCCTGTGGTTACCAAACATTTCAATTTTGTTACCAAGTTTATCATGCCGTATTAATCATTTCAGTTTTTCGTAAATGTTTGGATCCACCTATATTACCTCCTGAAATGCAAATAAATTCCCCCAGAGGGTTAATTTACTCTAGTGTTGTTTTGATTCCTCCCCTCTCTCACATATTCATAAATATTCCTCTACAAAAGCTTCATGTTTCTTCCCAAGCTAGATGGGCAATTTACTGCTGGTAATCGAAGCACTTGACATATCAGGCCTTCTTTGTTTGTAGTGACCGGCAAAACCTTGTCTACATAAACTCCTACCTCAATGAGTTATTCAAGTAAATTCGTGGTCTTCACTATCGTTTTATTCTTTTGGATAGTTAGGTAAAGCACACTGTGAACTTCATGAGTTGTTTGAGTCTCCCTTCAAACGAAAAATGTTGAATTTACGAAGTTATTTTGTAGAAGCAAAATTTAATTGGCGTTTTTTCAACATTACGATCGACCGACTGGTAAGCCATGCTTTGTGATTCAAGTTAACGATAAGGGGCCATACTTTCAAAACTCGCTAAGTGAACATATGTACTTACGCTCTATTTTCTTGTCTATGATTGGTGGATTTGGCTTGAAAGGCCGTCAATGATTGGCAGATGAACTTACGATCTCTTAACTTTTTTTGAAAGTATAGGCCAAGGTTGTGATTTGTGTGACAAATTCTTGTGAAGTTGTGCATCTTGCAAAGATCAGCCTGGCGTGATATTTGTCCGCTTGCATTTTATCACTTATTTATTTTCATGTTATTTTTAATTTGCATAAGTGTCAACAGTCGTCATGAATGAAGCAATCCAGTTGCTTAAGCTAATAAAGTGTTCTTGTATATTAGTGATCTTGATTCCCTTTATGTTGATTTTATTTCAGTCTTGCCACTAAGTGACGCTTGCAATGACACCAACTCGCCAGTTCCACGCCTCCTTCAGCACCACTTTCCCTATGCCACTCCTCAAAATTATGAGTCTAATCCCCGCTCTAATGTCCACTCCCACAAGCATGGGGCACGTAGGGAGAACAATTTACCCCTTGAGAAAACCGGTGGGATAGTTAGACCCCAACTAATAGGTAACAGCCTGCAGCTCCATCGTCCCTCCAATCCCCTGAAGTTCCCTGCCCCACACAGTCCTCTTAACAAAGCTACCCTTCGGTGTTGCTTACCCCAACACAGGCCTCTCTTGAGTAATGGCTACATGCTTAGTAACCCGAACTTGAGTAGCAACGCTACCGGACTACGCGGGCCCTTGTTACATGGGCTGTGTTCACTGCAGCCTTTTAGCGCTGTTCGGGCCCCACACAGAGACGTGGTTCGTAGTAAGTCCACAGGCAAGATTGCTGATGAGCAAAGACTTGTAATAGGCGGGCAGGTGAAGAGTAACGTTACAAGAATGCAGCCTCAGGTCTTGCCCGTTCCAACAAAATCGAATGATTGTCGACAATCGGCCCCTAAGCACCTGGCTCAGCATAGACGGTCACTTGAACACTGTATCGAGACTCAGGCGCCTCAGCATTCTCAGAACCCTCAGAATTCACATAATGACGCTGCAGTTCCTTCCTACAAGAGAAGTATATCCTTTCACAGTCCGCTGCGTTACAAAGAAGAGAGAGGATTGCAACCATCGCTTCATCATGTTCGTGAACTGCCTTTACGGAAAGCCTCAGAGGATCTGTTGAAAAAAATTGTCCCCGTTCCTCAGAGCACGCCTGTTCGGTGGGATAAAACGCATTCTCCCAAATCCTGTGAAATTAATTCCAATGACCGGTTGTTGAGTGATGAAACTTCCCATCTTAATCGCACTGGGAATACCATATATTCTGTCGTTGCTGGCGATGCCCATCAATTAGCTCGAAGTCCAAGAAAAACCACAAATCGTGACGCGGTAGTGGATAAAAAGCAACAATCGGATAAGATCGATTTCTCTTATGACGAGGAACCACGATGCAAGGAGGATGAACGCTCAACCGGCAAGTCTCGTTCACCTAGGAATCAAAATCCCATCGCCCCTATAGGAATCGCGGGATATAGTGGGTCCAAAGTTATGACAGAGGTTGACAGGCCAAAGGACATTTCGGGGGTCGATAGGCCTAAGGACATTACTGAGTCCAGTAGGCCGAAGAATATGCTGGAGGTCGGTAGGCCAAAGACTGCCATGACAAAGGTCGGTAGGCCGAAAGATAAAATGGATGTTGGTAGGCCAAGTGGTATGATGGAGGTCAGTAAGCCAAAGGACATGACAGAGTTTGTTAAACCTGTGGACATTACAAAGGGTGACAGGCCCAAGAATCTTTCTGATGGTGAGAAACCTATGGACCTTTCTGTGGATGGCAGACCCAAAGACATGACGAAAATTGGCAGGCCTAAAAGCATAATGGAAGGTGGTAGACCCAATAATATGATGAGTGGTGGTTGGCCTATGAACCCTGGAGACGGCAGATCTAAGAGCAAAACTGAGGGAGTTATACCTCTTCGCCTTTTGGATGATGTCAGGCCCAAAAACTCTACAGATAGTGGAAAGCCTAGGAGCAATATCGGGGGCGGCAGACCCAAGGGTCTCTCGGAAGATAACAGGCTAAGAGATTTCAAAGAGAGTGACAGACCCCATGAGCTTTCAGAAGGTGGCAGGTTTAATGGCCTTTTGGAGGGTGGCAGACCCAAGGAAATCTTGAAGAGCGGCAGTCCCAATACCTTTTTGGAATGTGGTAGACCGAAAGTCCTTTCTGAAAGTGGTAGACCGAAAGGTTTTTCGGAATGTGGGAAATCAATGAACACGCCTGCTGGTGGTAAACATATTGGCTTAGCTAAAAAATCTGGAACGCATCTGTCTCGGTCCGTCGAAGCTCTAGACGAGATTTGCACCAATGATATGGACAATAATCTGAGTCTATCGTGCAGCGCGGATGACTCGTCACTTCAGAAGTTCAGTTCCCGTGTCCAATCTTTCCAATACGGGTTTTCCAAAAACATGGACAGGAGCAGTAAGGCGAAGGACAGAAATACGTCAATCGCTGTAAATGCTCCTAAAAGTTCAAATCTGCCTGATTCCCTCTCCGATACCAAAGACAATAAATCTAACCGTATTGCGTCTCGTATTGAAGCGAATTCTAATGAAATTGGACCAAAAGACAGGAATAAAATTGCTAATGCACTGTCTCGCCACGAACTTGAAGTTATCCAGAAGTTGATCAGGACTCATACGACCGAGTTGCGTGACAACGCAGCTGACAGCTCTTGTCACTTAACCACCAGCACTAAACTTGGCATAGTTCCTGCCCCAAACTCTCCTAGGATACGCAACGCAACTGGCGACAATAACTTGGCCCCCAAAGATAAACAATCTCCTGTTGAGTTGGATTTCAAAAAACATGAGCGAGCCAAAAAACAAAAGAGGCAAAGCATAGGCAACCTTTTCCCTGTTAAATTTGATATGGATTCTGCCGTTGGCACTAACGAAGCTGTGGTAACAGATTTTCCACGTGAGTCTAATGACGAGCAGCCACTTGAAGGAGAATGTTCCTCTAATAGAAATAATTCTCGAGTTTATTTCAAGAATGAGTCGCCAAACCAACGAGGAGGACTTTGGAGAAATCACCCTTCTGACTTACCTACAGCAAGCTCTAGCGGAAATATTTCCTCTGCTGCGGTGGTCACTTTACTGACCAATGTGGCTTCCGTACCCCTCAGTTACTCTCAGCATCGCTCCAGTCCAGAATATGATCATAATTACTCGGCCAGCAACAAACTTCGAGAAGTTGACGTTATTCAACCAACCTTGGCGTCTCAGAGCAATGCGGTAGTTCCTGGAAGGTATAGTCCAGACATGGTAAGTTCGCAATTGTCTGGCGTGACCATCACGAACGCTTCCTCCGCCTGGCCTGACGTGTGCTCCAACCTCCCAAACTTGGATAACACGAGTCGAGTGATCATCCACGACGAGGGTCGTGATGAGAACAGCAACTTGTCTATGGAGCAACACCCGCAATTCTTGTTCCATAGGCAAGCATCGGAACCTCTCTTACAAATCCGAATTCCAACGAGTTTACAACCCCCTATGATTTATGGAGCTGCTCCTGTTATTTCTTCGGCATATGCTGATAACATTTCAGGAGACAGGGATTCCGCTACATCATCCTTGCCGACCCCCAGTGCTCCTCAACAGAGTACCATACCAAATTCGTCAGAAGCCAAAATCCCGGCCACCTGTTCTCAGGATTCATATGGTCCCATTGCTCCATGCAGTTCAGAAGTTCGTCTTCGTAATACCGCAGTTTCTAGCAACCATAATGAAGTCGTTAGTAGCAGCAGCAGCCAGTTTGGTGAAACTACCGAGACAAGACACAAGTCGCGACCATGCCATCACATCCATCACCACCAGCACCCGTCCAGAAGACACCAAGGTATCCGTCCTACCTCGTGTGCTCTCAACTTCCTCTTCCAGCCCTCTGTTCTAATCCCGGTTTATTGGCTTACGACCCATGCGAGTGGGGCCAGTAGTGGCTGTCACTGTAACTTGTCATGCTAATACCCTACCTCGACTAATCAGCAGGCTACTGGCTCCGTGTACAGGGTTGCTGGGGTCATTGGCCGACAGTATTGGCAAGGTATAGTGACTGCCACTAGTGGCCCAGTGCCTGTACTTGCTCACGTCCTAACATGGCTCCATAACAAGCGTCTTGCCTGCGGTGTTTCCATTACTGCGAAATTACTTTAAAACAAACTTAGAGAACATCTTCTCGCCGGGAATTAGTTGGTTTATTTTGTTGATTAATTGACAGAGATTCTCGTAGCTTAAACTTTACTTGTTATCTTGCCTTGAACATTATTTGGTCCTTGGTGGATTATAAACGATGACGACTACCTAACAATATTTTATTTAAAGATAACACATGTATATTTATGCTCCAGACCGTGCTTTCAAATATTAACCAATCTTGATCTTACTTTGTGGGTAACATCGGTAATATCCTGCAGGCTGAACATATGCTAAGTCCGCTGAAGTCCACTTACTTTTTCATAGTGAATGCACCACAGCTCAACTAGCTAATTCTGCAATGTTTTGCCTGGTACTAAAATTCTTAAATTTTTTTAGATGCAAGTCATTTGTGGACTGCCTTTGCATTGCATTGGTTGGATTAGGTATTGCTGGTTGAGGCTCATCATAGAAAGAAAAGCTTGTCCTGAAGAGAAATGAAAGAATTTTTCCAAGTAGAAGTGCACTTATTGCTCTCATGTGGGTCATCCTGAACCTGTTTGGCCTGGCAAAAAGGCGTAGCAGTGCTGCGTCTTCTCTATGCTGGTGCTGTGTGAAAGAAAGTGTCAGTATTGGGACAAGATAACCTGTCAGTATTGGGACAAGATTACCTATTTATTTTCTTGAGCACTGGATTGTTACTGTGTTGTAGCGGTTATAATAGAGTCAAGCAGTCTATTCTATTGCAGTCTTTTCTATTGCAGTCTTTAAGTTGTATTTTGTCTCCACTTTTTTTAAAAGTGAATGGAATCCATGCAGTAGAAGTTAAAGCAAGATATTCATCGGTTTAAAATCTAATAATTTATTGTGCTTTTTCAGGCTCTCGTATTTATCATGCACACATGATTGTGCATAGGTAGTAGGTATGTGCCATGAGAATTGTTCATGGCTAGAATTAGAATGTGATGTTCGCAGATGATCTATTAATATGTTAGCCATTCAGAAGTTTCTAATTGCATTGATGCTAAGTGTTCGAAATTAATGAGCAATTATGCATAGCTGTGTATGCTGTTACATTAATAAAAATGATATGCATTAGAAGATGATTAATCTAATCAGATTTCAACTTATTATCATTCAAAAATTTTGCAAAATTCTGGCTGTGTGTTGTATCATTATTATTTTTATTGAAATGATGTTTTGTTGAATACCTTGTAGGATTTCTTCATTTTTAACGAATCGTGTGAGCAAATTTGACAAATTTTTTCTTCAGAATTCAAAGTTCATGAATAATTCATAACTTCTCATCATGATCTCAATGTTCATGTTATAATATTACAGTCTGAACTTTATTTTGCCTGACTTCAGAAATTTTTTTTACTTTACTGACCAAGATGTAACAAATGTTGTGAGAAAACTTGGCTGAAAAGTGGTGTAAAAAATCAATCTTATGTGCATGTTCTTCTATCATGAACTCTCTTTAAAGTCTTTTTCGGATTTTCCTCATGTCTTATGGAAAAGTTTGGTATCGATATACAGTGACCTATATTAATAAGTCCTATGTCATATTAATAATCAAGTTCTTGGCTGGTGTGCTTTGTCATCTCTTCAGTGATGCATGATAATAATAATAATAATAACAATAATAATAATAATTATAATAATAATACCGGTAATTGAAATTAATAAAAATAATTTGAAATTAGTTGACAATATTACTAGTTTCTCAGATCGGATGAACACTCCAAGATAATCATTAGATCAATATATGAACTAGTCAACCAATAGATATCAATCTTATATCAATATCAATCAATACGATGAATGATTATCACAATGTCAAGAGTTGAGCTCTTAAAGAATGTAAGATGCTCTGCCTGAACATCAATTAACATTATATGATGAATGATAATCATGCATGTGTATGATATGACTTATGATATTCATGCACTTTAGAAGGTTTTCTTGAATTCTTCATACTTGTGCATGTAATTCTATCCAAATTCTTTTTGCTGGCATTCTATATGGTTATTGCATATGCTTCTCATAAGATTGCTGATTATGTTTATATGCTTATTGTGTATCCTCTAAGTTGTACTATCTTTAGTATTAACATTTGATGTAGTAACTTGTACTACAAGCCTATGTCCGAAACTCTCACTAATGATACCAGCAATGCTAAAGATACTAAGGAGGCCAAGGATGCTAGCGGTACTAAGGAAATTGAAGATAATAAGGAAATTAAAAATACTAAGGATACTACAATACTTAGAAGTATTTTTGTTGTGTGCAGATGAGTCTTCTCTACACTCCCCCTCCGACACATCAGCAACTGCTGCTGCTGCTGGTGCCTCCTCTGCTGCTGCTGCTGTTGCTTCACCCCCAGCAGCAGCAGCAGCAGTTGGTGCTTCTCCAGCTTTTATGGCTGTTGGGTGAGGCAAAAATATAGCGTAATAACTGAAGCCTAATAATGTAGGTATATATGAGTAGAGGTTAGTCTGTATGTGCTGTATACTTGGTGAAAGAAGGAAGTTATTATTATATTACGGACAAAACGGGTTGCTTGGAATATATGTTCTAATTTTTTGTTCCAGTAAATTTTTTTTTGCTAAAACAATAAAAAAATTCTTATGTCCCTAATTTTAAAGTTCCTACTAGTTTACTTTAATTTCTTGCTATTGTTTGTATTAATAGGTCTTTCTCTTAGTAACATTACTACATTTTGCTAATTTGCTACGGGATAACGGAATATGTGAAGACAGAAATTGCAGTAGCAAGATGGTTTGATTTTTTTCAGCGTTTGACTGACGCTGTTGAACTGTTGATGTTTTTGCAGAGCGGCCAGCAATTCAACAGACCCTGCAGCTTTAGCGGCGGCCGCCGATGATACGTCCATACCGCAGGGGTGAGTCATACATGGCTGGTGTGACATGACGTGGCTGGTGTGACGTGACGTGGCTGTGTGACGTGCTGACGTGGCTGGTGTGACGTGCTGACGTGGCTGGTGTGACGTGCTGACGTGGCTGGTGTGACGTGCTGACGTGGCTGGTGTGACGTGACGTGGCTGGTGTGACGTGCTGACGTGGCTGGTGTGACGTGCTGACGTGGCTGGTGTGACGTG